AATACCCTAGAAATATATTAGAAAAAAAAAATGAAAATTCAGATCAACAAAATCAGCAAAACACTAAAAAAAAAATAAAAAAAAAAACAAAAAAAAAAAACATTTATTTACCCAAAAAAAATCAGCAAAAGACTAGAAATAAATTAGAAAGATATGCAAACCATTTTAAGGTACAATTTTAGGTTACATAAATTATTATAATAAGTTCTAAAAGATATATGAAGACCACGTAGAGATAGTTGAGTTGGCATTTTGTAGTTGTGTGTGGAATTGTAACGATTCAATTGTTCACTTTAGGTTCAAGCTCGCACAATATTATTTTTAGATTTTACTCACAAAATTTCATATCATTTAGAGATAACACTAGGATATATAAGCACTTCTCATTGTTCACAACCAGACAATATGAAATCGTGCACTCGTAATCTGTTATTGCATCGCATCGCATGCAAGGTTGTCATAATCCACCCTCTATGAGGTTCGACGTTCCCATCGGCACACTCTCAGCTTAGTTAGGCTCTTTTATCATTTGTAACGATTCATTCAATTACATGATATTATCCGTTTTGGGTCTTATTCTACACGATTTTACTCTTAAATTTTTACTTTAAAAGATTTCATATCATTTGAAAATACATTAACACATACAAAATACTTAATTTTCACCTCAAACTATGTGAATTGTGCACTCGTATCCTTCTAATACCCCGCATGACATACTTGCACACAAAATCACCAAAGCAACCATATCAAAAGTCTAACGATATAAGTTTGTCGAGAGATCATCGTCGCCGTGGGCTTGCATAATCAACTGCTAATGATAAACTTCATCTCTTTAGAAACCAATAACATACATACCGTTATTGCATTATTATCATCGGAATACTACTAAAACACAAGATAAACTTACCTGGTATAGGTATAATAGGTATGCTATTTGTCTTGTACTCTACAAAGTTCAAGGAATGACCTTGACTTGACAAGCCAATATTTGACCAAAATGAATCTTCTTTTTCTACGGCCAAGATCTCGGTGATTGGTAAATCTTCACCAGGGTCCACTTGGAAATTGCAAACACCACTATTATTATAATGTTTGGATTAAGAAGCACAATTATGTTCAAATCAACTAAGATTTGCAAAATCCTATTGACTAATTTTATCAACTCTGTTTATTGAATTCACGTTAGAGGAAAACATGCCTCGAGTGTCTCACGGAGAGATCTGCGGCGCCGCTGTACAGAATACTGGCCCACTATACCTTAGCTTGAAAACGGTACCGACTCTCTTCTTTTTCGACTTTGGCGCCAACGTTTCAGCGGGTCAAAAAAGCAAAACCCCATAAAATGGCGGGTTTTTCAAAAATATATATTTCAAAAAAATGAGAAAGTGACCAATGGCCGACGGGCCGATGTGTCACTCACGTGTCACAGTACCCTTTCGTTCTGCAAAAGGCCATTTGCATGTGGTCTCGAGAAAAAACTATTTGCCCCCGACGTTCTCTCCACGTCAAACTGGGCCCCACTGCGGTTCTTTTGCCCCCACCGTCAGATGATGGCGACGTGGCCCCCACCGGATGATTTGGCGGGAACGTCATGATCACCGAAGTTCCTTTCCCGCCAGACGCTCGAGGGTCAACCGACAGAACTGCCGTCTCCTAACAGACAATAACGGCCGTTAAGGAGAAATTGGCGGGTGATTTTTAGTGCCGTGATGAGATATTGCCACGTGGCGAGATCATAACGAGGGTGATGATCGTGAGTGATAGAGGGAGAGAAATATAGGGTGCAGGTGGTGCTACGTAAGCACGGTGGCAGAAACAGCGGCCAACAACGGAACGTGATTTCTGAGGAGCGGCACGTGATGGTCAGACAGACAGCCCAGCAAATGGGACCCACGTGACCGCGTTTGTGACAGCACTCTCGACCACGTTGCTCAAATCAAAAGTGTATATCATAGTAATAATTATTTGTAGTAACAAGTACAGTAATAAAAATTTTAACCAAAAAAAAAAAAAAAGTACAGTAATAAAAATGGAGTAGAATTTAAATAAGAAGAGAGTAAGGTAAAAAATAATTATGGTAACGTAGAAAAAAAGAGAGAAAAAGAATAGTAAATCATACGTACATTAAACGTTCCCTTATTGATGATGAATTTATAGTTAGGCGGCATGGTGTTGGTCCGGCATAAAAGTAGTGTCCCCACGTTGTTGTGTTAGTGGAAGACTAACTCTCATGCCAAACTTTTTATTTTGTGCATGTAGCCATGTATGTATACAGTGTTTGGTGGGCATCAGTCTCCCTCCAACATAAAATGAAATTTTAAATTTTAGGTAATTTGCAATTTTACATTCACACATATTTGTAATTAAGATAGATAGATACAATTTAAGGAATGTAATTCAATTGACTCCAAATTTGTAAATTTTAAATTTTAGGTAATAGGAAGTTGTAAAAGTAATCTAATGATTCACATGAATTAATTTAAAAGTCAAATGACAAGTATGTACTTTATTCATGATTGAGGTGTCTTTGTTTATTTTACTCTAAGGGATATCATTGTCTCAAAAGTGCTTAAATTGTAGATGATTGAACAGTGTTTTAATATTGGTTTCAATTAGAGCCTTTTGGAAGAAAAAGTGTTAGTGCTTAAATGAATTCTTGCCCATTGCCTGGCTACCTGCTTCGTCATTTGTGATTGGTGGTGAAGCTTTAAAATGTGAACCTGTAAGCGAGCGTCACACTAAAATGTTTGTTTCGCGCTAAACTCTCACAAAAATGTGTCATACTTGATGAGAAATACTTTTTGTTCATGTTGAAAGATGTATTAAATAATTCATTTAACTTTTACATATTTTAAAAAAAAATTTTAATCCAATGGTTAAACTTGGAAAACTTACTAGTTTTAAAATGATGAATCTTTCTTTATAGTATTATCCAAACAAAAAACAAAAATATGACTGCCACATTTTTTTTCCTTGTTTCTGACAACTTCCGTTTAGCAATTTTATGCCACTCACAAAATTTTACTCACATTGTCCAGCACTACGTGATCAAGTCCACTCAAAACTCTCCATAAAAAAAAGTGAAATCATAAAAATGTAATAATTTCTTATTAATATGGTCCAAAAAAATGAACAATGCTTATCTCAGATTATATAAGCAAAAATTTCTTGCTTATGTTGATGTTGACCACTCATAACTTGGCACTTGAAAAAAAAAAAAATTTAAATTAAACATAGATCAATCGGATCTTTTTACGAATTTTCTCTCAAGTCCAAGATTTTATCAGGGTCTATGCGTTCTCTTTCTATCACAAAGTCAAGAAAATTCCGACAAACCACTACCATCTCCAATCCCTCCGTTTTTCCTTCTCATCACCACCAAGTTTCATACTCTCCTACTTCTTCTTTCCCTTCTCATCACCACCCAGTTCAACCGCAAGAAGAGGGGGGCCAAAATATGTTCTTTTTACTCTCCCAAATTTTTCTACAATTCAACGATCAATATTGCTAATTCCTGAGATTTATAAAAACCAAATTAAAAATAGAAAAGAAACTAGTAAACTCCGGGAAGGCTTCACTGCATAAACAGAAAAGACACCACAATCCCTTTGAATCGTGAATCAGTCTCCCAATCACCAATCTTTTGGCGGACATCAAATCGGTGGTGTATAAGGGTACAAAGATTTAGGAAACCTTCTCAAAGGAATGGTCGCAAACCAATCCAATTTCTAGCGCGCGGGATTGGCCGCCAACTTCACCCAAGCTCTGTAAATGGGTTTTGGATTTTTGATAGCATATTTTACCCACTGTTTTTTCGCAACAGAAAACTCCATCTTATATCGTACCGGAGCTTGAGTCATTGTCAAATTTCTCACACAACTCAGTTCTGAATCCATCTCACACAACGGACCAACTTCTTCTCTGCTCCAAAATAACCTGATTTAACTCCCTCATCCGTCGCCAGCTCTCGCCACAACGTTTTGACAAATAGCAATGGACTCCAGAAGGTTAGATCCTCTTTTCTTTTGGACCACCCATAGAAAGATCCGATTGATCCATTTTTTTAATTTTTTTTGACAAGCGTCAAGGTAAGAGTCGTCCACATCAACATAAGAATGAGATGCCTACTGTTGCGGCCTAAGGCAAACTTTTTCCCAAAAAAAATAACTTCTTCCCAAACACAGCCAGTTTCGAGCAATAAATTTTTTTTTTTTTTTTTTCAACATCGAGCTATAAATTGACACAGCTCTAAATTGACTTTAATAATGGTTAATTTGAAGTTGAATTGTTCACTGGTCATTAATACAATTTGACCTAACTGTTTGGTTCGAATTTTTGTAATCAAAGCTTCTCAAAACTGTAATGACTGGCACACCCGAAAAAGTTGATTGATTGGCGTGAGGATAAGAGAACTATTGAGTGAAATTAGTTATAAGCAAATGCAATGATCATGTATAATATACATATATATATATATACACACACACGCGCGTAGATATATCATAGAGTAACTAACAAATAAAAAAATACAAGAAAACCGGCTTAAACGAGGACAATACAAAAGCCGATTTAAGCGGTGTTGTCACGTGCGAAGGTCATTATTTTGGTCGGCAAAACCACGGTTTAATGTCCAAGCCATCTAATTACACAAAAAAAAACAATTACAAGATCAAAACATGTCCCACAGTGGGCCCTATCGCCAAGTGGATTGACACTAACCATCGATCAAGAATATATCACACTCTAACTCTGCACTGTCCCACACTCAATTGAGTCGAGAACAAGCAAAGAACATTTCATCAGTCCACGTGGCATCCGAGGTGGACATCCGAACCACCAAGCAGAGGGATCAAACGACACGTGTCAAAAGATTAGTTGACTTGGGTTAGTATAAATTACATTACCGAGTGTATAAGAATTAGGGCAGCGTTACACATGCCATGTGAGCCCCACCCTTTGCGCATAGGCGTGGTTTAAAATATATATATATATATATATATATATATATATATGACATGAAGAGCGAGACCAACAACAAAGCGTGGTTTGCGCTACTTCTAGAGAGAGAAAATTGTGGGGAATTTGAGTGAGAGAGAGAGAGGGGGTGTGAAGAGTAGACAGACGTTTGGTGAGAGTTGTTAATGGCGATTGCGTGGATGAAGTGCAACTTTTGAGGAATAAGTGGCATTTGCGTCTTTGGAAACGAAGAGTGAGTTAATTTTTGGGGCTGTTCTCTTTCTTGGTTCTCTGTGGTAATCGTATTTCAACGAGAGATATATAGAGCTATTTTGAAGGCGATCTCTGTTCAGGCTGTGTTTGGTTTTTTTGGTTGCTGAAGAAATTTTAAGGAAGTAGAAGAAATAATTCAGATGGAGTGGCCTTCCTATTTAGATGAATATGAAAAGCTCGTCATAAGAATGACAACTCCAAGGTCAATTTCTCTCTCTCTATATGTATATTTATGTTATCGATGTTTCTGTCTCTGCATATGCATATCAGTGTTCTATCTCTCTCTCTCGCTTTTTGTGTTTTGTAATATTTTGCGAGTTTTGGGGAAAATTTTCCTTCTGTTCCGTATATTCCTTGGTTTTGATTTTGTTTGCGTCGTTTTTTGACTGTTAATTCAGTGTTTAGTGTATGTTTTCTGTTCAAATCTATTCTCTGTTTTGGTACTTCTCTCAATATTGCTTGTAATTTTCCAAAAAGAAAAATTAGGGTGAATTTTCCCCAAACCATGTACTTTTGTTTTATAATAATTCAAAAGATTTATTTTTAAAAATATTTTGATTCGGTGTATTTCCGGATCTGATATACGCAATAATTTTCATTCACATATAAAGAAAATCTATTAATTCAATTTCTGCCATTATTGTTTAAAGTAGATTTTCTGTAGATTTCTCATATACCAAATCTAATTAGCTTTTTGAAATATCTACATGCTTTCTGACATCACACTTAGACTTTTCAAAAGTCTCTGATCTCTTTTCCTAATGACCGCCTCAGTTTACAATTCAAATTTCATATATTTCAAAAGGTTCGTCTCTGACTCGTCGTTGTCATTGGTCTCGCAGGGTCATGGTCGACAATGCTGGTTGTGCCAACGCAACCCGGGTCATGGTAAGCTTCGCAAAAACCCTAAAAAGCACTTCAAAATGTGACCAAGTTCGATGCAAATTTGACTAGTCTTTTAAATTTAAATTTTAATTTTAATTTTTTAATAGATCGACAGTGCGAGAAAACATGAGATTCTTCTAGAGGCCGTTCAGGTTCTCACCGATCTGAACCTTTCAATTAAGAAGGCTTACGTTTCCTCTGATGGAAGGTGGTTCATGGATGGTAAGCACAATGAAGCATTCAATTTGTCTGTTCATGGAAATCTTGCTACCCTGCGCCTCCCCAGGCGCACATTAGCACTCTTGGTGTGTTTCTTGCAATTTCAATTAATTACTTTTATTTGTTTTTTATGTGCAGTTTTTCACGTGACTGATATACATGGGAACAAATTAACGGATGAGAGCGTCATAAACTGCATTGAAAAGGTAATTCCCCATGACCCAACATTTTAGAGAATTTTTGTTAAACTGAAGAAAGTGAAATGTTAGTATTTTGCAACTGAAGTTCGTTAAAATTTATATTGGGTTGCACTAAATTTGTCACTTTTTTGTATGACACAGTCACTTGGCACAATCCCATACACTGAATCGAAATGTGTCAAAGGCTTGACAGCATTAGAATTAACGGGAACCGATAGACTCGGTCTTCTATCAGAAGTTTTCGCGGTGCTAGCTGACTTGCAATGCAATGTTGTTGATTCCACTGTGTGGACTCACAATGGCCGAATTGCTTCTCTTATATATGTTAAGGATTGTGGTTCAGGGTCCCCAATTGAGGACTCTCAGAAGATTGATAGAATCGAATCCCGGCTGAGGAATGTTCTTAAAGGGGACAATGATATTCGAAGTGCCAAGACATCCATTTCCATGGCAGTCACTCATACAGAGCGGAGACTTCACCAAATGATGTTTGCGGATCGCGATTATGAACGGAAGCCCATAATCAAGACCAATGGTGATTCCCCTGTTGTCACCGTTCAAAATTGCTTAGAGCGGGGTTACTCTGTTGTGAACATTCAGTGCAAGGATCGAACCAAGCTTTTGTTTGATGTTATATGCACATTGACTGACATGCAATATATAGTCTTCCATGCCACTATCAACGCAGCTGGAGATCGAGCATATCAAGTATATATTCGTTTTCCTTTTGCCTATTTGCTTCCTGGGTTGTTTGTTTGTATGATCTGTAATTTGACAGTTCTTCGTTTTTGCTTTGTCTCAGGAATTCTTCATTAGGCACACAGATGGAACCCCAATAAGCTCAGAAGCCGAAAAGCAGCGTGTGATTCTCTGCCTACAAGCCGCCATTAATAGAAGAGCATCCGAGGTATTGGGTTCTTTTCCTTTTTACTATATAAACGAAGAAAATCTTCTGAATTATTCATTGTGTTTGGCCTTTTATGTACATTCAAATCTCATATGTTGGCACTATATGATCACAGGGTGTACGATTAGAGCTATGCACTGGTGATAGGCAAGGGCTCTTGGCAGATGTGACACGAACCTTCCGGGAAAATGGTCTGAATGTGACAAGGGCTGAGATATCCACTACAAGTGATACGGCTCTAAATGTCTTCTACGTAACGGACACAATTGGAAACCCAGCGGACCCTCAGATCATCGAGGGCGTCCGACAGAGAATCGGATTAAGTAGCTTGAAAGTGAAGGAATTGCCATTGATCCATCATCAAAAGGCAGAAAGGGATGAACCCACAGTTGGTGCTGGTGGGGCCGTTTTGCTATCACTTGGGAGCCTGTTGAGAAGGAATCTGTACAATTTGGGATTGATCAGATCTTATTCTTAAAAAGAGGGGAGTGAAAAGGCAAAATTGTTGGGGGGAGTTGGGTTGTGTTGTCCACCCCAGTTGGCATATATACTTTGCTTGAGAGTTGGGCATGTGTACATAAGAATAGTGAGAGATTAAAGAGTGTGATTTGGTGAGATTAGTTGTTGTTATAGTTGGGGCTTGTTTGGTTGAATAGGTAGACACAACATATAGATATGGGGGGCCACTACCCACCATTAATTATTAAATGGTTTGTATTAAGAAGGAATTTGAATTAGAGGTGAGGGAAACACAAAAAAAGTAGGTGTTTGGTAGTAGTTAGTTGTGGTTGGTTAATGTATTATTGGTTGTTTGCTGGCTGGCACACAGAGGAAGATGAAGTTTAGGTAGAAAATTAAATTGGTTTTACACAGCATACATTTGTACATAAACTATTTTTCTTAGTATTAGTACCAATGGTTGACTTCATTTTTCCTGTTTATGCCCCACTCACTCTCTCTCTCTCTCTCTCTCTCTCTCTCATTTATTAGTTTGATTGACAGAGTATGTGCAATTTGTACCGTTAGTCCACGAAACACCCGCTCACAAGTCACAGGATGTACAATTGGAAAATCTATAATGTCAAAAATCTATTTGTTCTGACCAATGTCTAATGAACTACATTTATTAAATCTATTCATTATATTGTTTTTACCTTCCATCATTGTATTCCAATCATTTTTCTATGGAAGTTTCAACACCTGAACACTCTTTTAGAAAGTAGGGTTTATGTGCACTATTGTCCATTTGGTGATGAACACATTGTTGATGTTAAACTCCTTAACACCGTTGCCATTGAATTAAAGACTCGTTATAAGCTTGTGTTCTTTTACAAGAATTCTTGACCAAAACAAATTTGATATATTTGAAGAGAAGAGTTAAAAGATGCCTTCACAAGTAAACATTACATATCAAAAGGTGCTTGTGCTTACAATTATTATTATTATTATTATTATTTTTTAATCCCAAATAAAGGTTATTGCATTTGTTGGTTTTGGGTTGAACTCATTGTATGAATTTGATGTGTACTGGTAGTGAAGCCGTACCTTTTGGTGGTATGTTATTGTATTGTTGTCCAGATTGTGAATGCTGATTTGTGCTAATGTTTGTCTAGTTGTTCAACCATATGGGTACTTGGTTTTAAGCTTAGACAATTACAACTAGGCTAACACTGAGGAACTTCATAGTAAAATCCAAAATAATAAAATATTTTTGAAAAAGCTTAACCCTGTAAGTGAAATACATACTTAGGAGTATAATAGTATTATTATGTTGTGGAATTGTTTATATAGTCGTATACAAATTGCAATAGAAAGTGGTCAAAGGGACAGAGGAAAGACGGCTAGTTGTCTTACCTATGTTTCTTTTTATCTCTACTCCAAAGGAAATGCCACCACTCCCGACAAATCAATAGATCCCAAATGTGAAAATACCTAACTCCCCCCTTCCTGCTTTGGATTCATCACTCTCCTCCCTCGTTTTCATTCTCTCTCCCCATTTCTCTCTCTCTCTATATATATATTGCATTTTTTAGGAGGCTTTGTTTGTTAGTGCATGAAATGTGACTAGATTGGATTGTCCTACCCTAAGAGAAACAATAGAGGGTTCTTACCTACTCCAATGAAAAATTTCTTGAGTTCTACTGTTTACGTTTTTTAAAATTGAATGACAAATACTCCATTTATTACTATATCATCCGTTATTAGGTTCTCCCACTATTAGGCGTCAAGCACGGGCTTCGGTTTCTAATAATAATCAAAAATAAAATCACGTCTCTTTTACAATAAATCCACCAATGGAAGAGATTTATCATCAATCCAATAAAAAGATTTGGAAAGTTTTCATTCAAAATGAAATATTACTGATGTTTATGTTTGGTAGCGGTGCTTTGGATTTGGGATTGGAAGAAGTTTAGTTCAAATTTTATACTAGATTTACTCCAGTTCCAAATTCAAAATGTCAATTCGATGCTAACATAAGTATATTTTTAACCTATACTCTTTTGTTTAAATGAGAAAAACAACTTGAATGTCACGTTCTGCTCTGCCTCTTGGTTTAACTAATAGTATTCGGTTTTTTTAAAAAAAGGAATTTTGTAGTTTGTTTGGTGGTAAACTAGTAGTAAAAAGTAAAGTAGAAAGTGATGAGAGCATGCATACACGCATGAGCTGTGTGGGAGTGGAAATCTGAGTCACATGCCGGAAAGTGCGCCGGACACGGCGTGGAGCCGAGCTGGCCTTTTGTGTATATAGAGAAAGAGAATATTATTATATGCAATGCAATACATGGCATTTTGTGTGTATGTGTTTGGCTCTGCTTTTCACAGACTTGTTTCTTCTCTTCTCCAGTGAGGTTTTGATAGCTTTGAGGCTCCAAAAGCACTTTGGTCATACCCTCCTCCTTTTTAAGTACACAAATATCAACCTTGTTTTTTCCTTGATTCGTTTGATCGAGGAAGACTCTCAGCTACCTCTTCTCTGTATTCCACCTTCAAACCAAATTAAATATTTATCTTTAAAATAGGTACATTACGCTAGTGGTACACAAACATCATAGAACCGAGTAAGAACCGTGCCAAATCGTCGCCTTAGTACTGATTCTGGTTCTAAAATAAGGAACCATAGTTTACTAATTTCAGTTTCAGATCCATTAGAATCAAACTGAACAGTAAACTATATATATATATATATATATATATATATATAGTATTACAATATTAATAAACAATAATATAACGCGTGCTACAAAAATAAAACTACACATAAGTACATGACACAATGTTATTTATACCACGCACAAAGATTAAGAAGAAATATTTTAATATTTGTTTCACAAAAAGATGATGATAACTCATTTGTTTTAAGATTATGATTATATTTTATTTCTTGGTTGAGATTTAAGACGTTTATTATTACTCATTTATTGTATAAACTTGAATTAGTTTTGATAAACCAAATCGATCATGTGATTTATATGAATTTATAGTAACTAATAAGTTATTGAGTTTTATTTTTTGAAAGGTATATATATATATATATGTAAAAAATAAAATAAAACCATGATTCGAAATCGAACCAAACTACAGTTTGGTTTGGTTCCAACCTTCAATGATTTCGATTTCAATTTTTTAAGAACCATCGGAATCAATTCGGTTCTGAACCGTGTGCACCCTTATATTACACATTTGAATCCTCTACTGGGACGAAGCCATGAATTTACCTCACACGCCCATTTATCTCATAAAAAACTCGTAGTAGAAACCTTCTAAATAAAAAGAAAAGATACCACTTGAGTTGTATTAGTTTTACTACTAATTTATAAAGTAGTTCTGATATTTATTTCTTTATATTGTTGAATGAACATAACAAAAGTTCACATACACACTTCAACAATACAGTTATTGTTATTCCAGCATAGAGAGAGCAATTATTAGGTTCAATGTAGAATTATAAGCAGAATATTGCAGATATGCGCCATCATATCTAGCATCTGTTCCAAAACCTTGCATTATTTAGATATTTCACAAGTCAACTGTTGAATTAACCTTCCAAATTCCAAACCCTTATTATTCTTCTAGTACTCTTTCTACATTTATTTCTATTCACCACTCAACTTTAATGGAATAATCAAAAACAAAAGTAGCTAGTTAGGAAAAATATTGTCTGGAATGTAGAATCAGAGTTGGCTTATTTTGTGCTCAAGATATTTTAACTTTAAATAATATGCCCAAGGCATTTCTAGCACAAAGTAGTAATTTTATTGCCAATAATTGTATAGTATATACATTAAAATATATATGGCAATAGACTTGAATTTGAAGCTTCTCCCACTAGCTAGAAGAATCAATCAAACTTTAGGCATGTGTTAAAGCCCTTATTCACTTAAGTTCACATCTCAAAGATTAGAGCCTAATGCAACATATGATCCTAAGCTGTGTACAACTCATCTAAGTAGCAAAAGAGGCTATATATATATATTGATTCTCTTTTTGTAGTTTATCTTATTTGAATATAAAACCCAATTATTTTCATCATGTCGACTTTCTTTCATGTTAAAGAATGCTTTTTAAGGATGATCTTTGTTGTGTCATTGGCTTATATAAGATCGATAAATAGTAAAATTGAATTGTGACCACAAAATTTAATTCAAGAAATTAAACATTGAAACCAAAAGTTAAATTTTATAAAGCCTTGCAGTTTGATGATACTTTTTCATCTTTCAAAATAGAAGGTTGAAGGTTCGAATCTTGTAATACCTTTAATTTTAAAAGGATAGTCTCGATATTTATTTATTTGTTTTAATTATATTTTTAATTATTTAATTGATTATTTGACTAATTGCTTATGTGTTTAATTGAATTAGGTATTACTTGATTATTTGATTATGTGTCTATATATTATTTGTATTTGTCTATGCGTTAATTGTTTAATTAGATTATGTGCTTAAATGGTGTTTTGATTAATTGTAAATTAAATGTTTTCTTTTCTTTTATTATTTTATTTTATTTTTCTTTTATGGTTATGGTTAGTAGTAATGGGCCAACCAATTGGGTCCCATAGACTACTTGAATAGGAGGTTGAATGTGTATGGATTATTACCCATGGATAGTTGTGTATGTATATATATAGACATATATTATATACATATATAAAAAGGAAAGTAATTTATCAATTACTTTTATGGTAACTTGGGTAATAATATTTAATCTGATCTATATGTTTTATATTTAAATAATAAAAATATACGTAGATTGGATACGTGCTATGTTTTAAGTTATTTTATAATATTATGATAACTTAAGTATTATTGGATAATTCATTAATAAATAATGGAATTTGTATAATTTATTTATTTAATAAACATATACATAAATTATATACTTAACATATTTTACGTACCTTTTTAATATATATAAAAGGGAAAGTAATTTATTAATTACTTTTATGGTAACTTGGGTAGTAATATTTAATCTGATGTATATGTTTTATATTTAAATAATAAAAATATACGTAAATTTGATACGTGTTATGTTTTAAGTTACTCTATAATATTATGGTAACTTAAGTATTATTGGATAATTCATTAATAAATAATGGGAAGTATATAATTTATTTATTTAATAAACATATACATAAATTATATACTTAACATATTTTACTTACCTTTTTAATATTTTGATATTTATTTTTTTTAAGTTGACTTGGATTGGGAAAATGGTTAAGGTTATTTTATTTAGCCTATAAATATATAGCTATAGGTTGTAAAAGGGGATAAGAAATATTCACGTGATATATTCTAGAGAGAGAGAGTTAGAAAGGGAAGGAGGAAAAAAAAAACCCTGTAGAGAGAGAAGATCAAGGAAGAAGAAGTTTAACTTTCGATCTGAAAGTTTATACAAGCTCTTCTTCTATCTCTTTCTCTTTGATTCGTGTTTCTATAC